TCGTCCGGTTTGTTGGTACCAGCTGTTTTTACGGCACATGCTTCTACCCAGACGCTACCTTTGTTTTTTTCAAAGTTAAAGGGCTTGACCCATGACTTTTACAGTAACTTGCATAAACCCAGAAATGTATCTTGCTTTCGCAACATCGCCCGATGAGAAAATAACCGCTAATTCCACTACAGTAAAAAAACGTTTTTTCCGTTCAATTTTTTAAAAATACGCTTGAGACTGTGAGATCCCTTATTCACCTACAACACTTCTAGTTTCTAACCCACTTTCCACAAGTACTTAGGGACCCAGTGTCAAATCACTGTTTTAGCCCCAGGGTTAAGTCACCAAAGTTTTTGAGATTTTTTTAAAAAATCGTTCGGAATGGTAGTGCCTTTACCCACCAACGACTTAGTTTGGGTTAATAAAAATCCTACCATTCTAAACGACGTTTTGAAAAAGTTAGAAGTGCTGGCTGAGTCAAACCCACTTGATTCAGCTGTTGGAATACCAACCACACGTCAATGTACAAAGTCTTTGATAGAGTGCTACCTTACAGAAGGATCGGAATACTTGTGTTCAGCATAAAAGCCTCGGAAAGTGAACATGGAAACTTTAAAAGCACAAAAGATTATCAGAAAACGCCTGAGGACGTCTGGAGACCTTATGCGTAATCTTGGGAATTCTAGGAAAAACTTGAAAGGAGTAGCCAAGCTGACACAGTAAGAACCTCAGCCAAACCTCTGGCTTTCACTAGTGCTTAGTTTTCCAATGTAAAGTACAAGTCCTTCAACATAATAAACCAACGTCCGTTGTATGGAAGAAGAAGAACAACAAATGAAGTTTTGAATCTCACAGTCCGGCTTTCTAAATAATCCAGTCCGGACAACATAAATAAAGCATTACAGAGGGTAATATGCTTCTGTTCACCAAGTGTTAGGAGAACCAAACTGATGGCTTACAAGAAGAACCAAATGTAGCCTGACAGATAACTCTGTTAACAAAATATAACTTGGAAATGATAATTTGAAAATTTATTTCAATGCTCTGAAAATGCTTATTATTAGCAAAATCCCTTTTTAATATAAGTAGAGTCTACATTAAAAACCAACAAGTTGGGAATTATACAGATCACAGACAAAAAAATTAGCGACTTAAATTGCAGCATCTTCAACTGGTCGATGTAATACTCCTCAAAAGCACTTTCCTCACATAATACGGCATGTGGTCACTTATTACAGCGGACGATAACTTTATTTCATCCAAAGCTCTAAAACTGATTGCAGGGTAGTATAAATTAAAAAGTCTGCAGAAACAAAGAACGATGAATTAAAAAAATCCAACTTATGTGAAATCCAGTTTCCAACAAGAACACCGTCTTTATCGCATAAATGGAAGATACGGCCGGGAGGATGTAGCTGAAAAGTTTTTTATTTTATTCTAAGGAAAAAACATGCGACTGTCTACTTGGAAACCAAAGCTTTGCAATTCAACATTCACAAAGGAAAGAAATTTCTGTGGAAATACCTCAACGCGATGACGTCTCTGTTCAGCTGGAGCTTCTCCTGTCTCTCCAAGGGTCCCATATTCTCGACTTGCAGTAGTCAAAGAATTATGAAAGACCAGTGGAAGGCAATCCTCTACAAGGACAACGGACGACTCAGCTGGTGGTTGTGGTGCTGCTGCTGCTGCTACTGCTGCTGCAGTTCCTGAACATTTTAGTAAAAGAAACAGGCAATGAGGGAGATGAAAATAGTCTGAATTCATTTCATTTGAAATAACAATTTAACGAGTAAATGGATGCGGGTTAGTAACCTGATGTTGATTGCCAGGGAGAAGAGAAGAATAAACGGAAGCATCCTCTAATAATAATTTCAAATTTGGCGTTATTCGAAGCAACAAGTGCATCAATTACACTATATTTTAGCTTGTGTAGCGTCTGAAATACCACTAATTAAACGGAGGAAACGCGACACTTTGGTAAAAACCTTTGCAACTTGGAGGCTAACGTCGCGGAAGTACCGTCTCACCTATCAAAAATGCGGGTAATCTTCATTTCCAATCCTTCAATTTAACTTTTATCATAAGTTTCAAGGAAATCATGAAAAACAAAGGTTTCGGTGTCTTCAGAAAGTTATGACGATAAAAAAAGCAATAGCGTTCTCAAATTACACTGCTCTACCTGCACTTATTATCGTTTACAAAATAAAGTGTAATCAGAAGGTAGCATAATATTTAATGAGGCAAGAACTATATCTAATCCTTCTAGATAAAACAAAACACGCATTGCATAAGAATTTCTCCAAAGTGTACCACAAAACAATGATTACACTTTTCATTTGGATAAACATAAGATTTAGAAAAACTTACCAAAAACATTTAATAACAAGACATTTGAACGTCTGCAAAGGAAAGGTATTGGAAAAGAACAAAAGTCAATTCTGCATTTTTCATTTTAGTCGAGAAAATAAAAGCGTTGCAGTAAGCAAACAAATTAAATGCAGTTTAACAAGAAACCTGATAAGACATTCTCGGAACAACGTCGTCGCCCACTATAATACTAAAAACGTACTGATTCGTTTCTTCAAGCCCGTTTTCACTGATAACACATCCGGGAGGAGAGAATGCAAAGCAGCGAATTGAGGTGTAATTTTGTCTAAAAAATTACTGTACAGCTGTGTCGCAAGGACTACAAATAATTGAACAGAAGTAAAAAAGGTACTTCAGCAGCAGCGTAAGAAGTGTAGCTACTCCAGCTCCCAAAGAATGTCCACAAACAACTAGATTATAAGTAGGAAACATTTTTGTAAGATTGTCTAGAATATTGTGCTGTTTTAGCGTCTCTAAGACGTATCGGGCACTCTTCAACATCCCTCGATGAACACGCACCTCCTAAAATGCACGAATTTATAAACAATCAAACAAAACGTGGCATAAGATGAAACTAACCTCCCCCTTTGGTTCTAAGTCTTCGTCCTTGCTGAGAATTGGATCAACATCCACATCAACTGAGAAAACTTCTTCATCCAAAGACAAATCAGTTACTAAATCCATCAAAGAAGCAGACCCCCGTATGGTGATGACTATACTTTTCGTTTTTGAATCAACTAATACGATAAATGGTACCTAAAATCAGTGACGCCATCAGAAACAAAAATAACAGTCGTTTAGCAAAGAGTACATTGACGAAGAGTACATCACTCTAAACGTTGATGTCGCAAATCAATACGTGTCTGCTTGCCTCGTAAAGCTTGTTCCGAAAAGAAACAAAATGTATGTCTGCTTTTTCAATTTCAGTTATAACAGAGAAAGATGCTGTGCTACAAAAACAGCAGTTATCGTCAATAACCTTTATCTCGCTACATCTGAAATGATTTATCAAATGAAATTAGTGGACAAGTAACCATCATTTATTTTACTTCGGAAGAGTGATAGCAGTGTTAAGAAAGGTTCTGCCTTTAGTATCAAAATAGGATACTGTCAAAATTTAATAAAACCCATGTTATCTAAAACAAACTGACCTACATGTACCACAGCAACTCAACTTCGTGCATAACTTACACCATGCCGAACACCCGCAATTATTAAAGCAGTAAGCTGGCCACCCGTAAACTGCAGTAGCAAATTCCATCATCCTCTGAGCGTTCTCCAGTGTCATCCAAGAGGGAATCTAAATAAAAAAAAAACTGTCTGCATTACCATTGTATAATAGACTATAATACTACCTCTGAAGAAGGTAGAACTGCATCTTCCGCTGGAAGGTCGTGAGGAGCGTGAACTAAAAGCAAAAGTCCAGCAAGAATGTCTGAGGCAACCAAGTCAACGTCAGCGAAAAACGACGCCATCAAAAATGCAATGTCGTCCAAAGCAGCACGCATTGCTTGATCTTGTCCAATACTGCACTTAAAAACTTAAGAAATCATGACGACACTGAGTTTCGCAAGAAAAACGAAAAAGAAAC